TCATGTAAAAGTGCATCGACCTCATCAATTTTTACTCCGACCTAAGAGTAGCAGTACATAATATTGTAATCAATCTCTGTATAAAAATCGCAATTATTTATACCTTTATAATGCCTTCACAAGCTTTTAAAGTATTCGCCGTCGACTTGCAAGCTTTTGATGAGTTTATTCATTAGTTTTTATTTCTGGTTCTCCAGAGGCACAGGCATGGCTGCATGTTTCAGCTCTCATTGCGTAAGTTTTTTACCTAACTCTCATTTGAACTCGGAGAATTATATACGCGACATAACTTATAATCGCTTAGAATTTCCCCAAAAACTAACAAATAATTAGTTTTTTTAATTATGTAAAAATACTTCCTAAATTCTACTTAATAAAGATACTTATTTTTAAAAACGTTGAGAGTACGGTAAGGTAAAAAACAAATTACCATGAGAGCCTGGAGAATAACTACACTCAGATTTAGGGGTAATATCATATCAATTGTATTATTGGAGAAACGATTAACTAACCTTCCCAGAGTAAATCCATAGGCCTTCGAAAATACGGTGGGAAAGATAGTAATATAATTTGCTGAAAGCGTAAGTACAACCCAAGGAAATAGCAAGAATTGATAGAAAACTAGATGCAATTATGATACTTTAATAAACGTGTTGTAAATGAATTCTTAAAGATTTAGGAAAAAAAAAGTAAAAGCCAATTAGAAATGAAATTAATATGTACATGTTTCGAATTTCATATTTAATAAATCATAAATTTATATTTTTCACATAATAAAAAATCGTTAAATTATACCAATTAGTATATGTAGTTTAGGCTTAAATTGGAAAAATTCACAAAGCAACACGCAAACATAACACATGAACACTGAATAGGCACATTAGAAAACTTGAGGAAACAAGTACAGAAAACCGTACACATATATATAAGACAAGGTTCATCACATAAAGAGAATGAGGCGACAACAATGACAACAATTTGATTTAACGTAACGAATTTCCTTGACCGAAGCCGAAGACATCGTACACACGTAAGTAGATGTCTTGTAAGCTGATATCATGTACGACAAGTGTATTGTTTGATCAAAGAGTTAACTCACTATGAACTGGAATCGATTTGAAGGGCTTGGAAGATAAAATTCAATAATAATGTAAGCATTGATAGAAATAAGCCGACACTTTTAATGTACTGCTTGTTGGCGGCAAATTCCGCATAAGAAAGTGTTAAACAGAATATCTTAGCAAGTCAAGTTAAATGAAAATAAAATATTGCATTTTTCTTGAATTTTTCTGTAATTTATGCAGATATGTAGACATTAAGATGTTATTCGACGCGATTAAAAGCTTATAAAGTGATCGATTAGATCGTTTTGGTATCTTACCCTAATTAATATAAACTTCATAAGACAAATCGTATTTGTCGGTCTATACTTTATAAGTTACTCACAACAATATTTCAAAAACGTTTTCATTTCTTAGTTATTGCAAAGTTATTTATCTGGAACTACTTTTATTTATTACATAAAATAGGATCAAGATAAATAAATATCAGATGTACAAATAAATTCGTTGCGCTTAACCAACGTAACTGACCTGCTCAATTTTCGTGAAATTGCAGATATAGATATCTTAGATATTGATGTTTGAACTATATAAGTTCCAGTTGTTTCCAAGCCCTTCTTCAGTATGTACAAAAGTTTAAAGAAACGGATGTCATTCACGGAACTGCATTTTCTCTAGTTTTGACTGAATAAAGGAAATGTAGTTCAACCTATGTAAATTACGAAACCGTTGGAATGTGGTTTGCGAGATTTCGAGTAAAGAATATTTGTCTGGAAAACGGCGGAATTCACATAACAAAAACAACCAAAGAAATAATTTCCAGCTTATGTTGGGAAGTTTAAACGCATCCCTCATATTCTCCAAACCTGGCCGCTTCCCATTACCACTTATTCAGACGGGACTTGTCAGTATAACATCATGAATTTACTGAAATTACCTAATGTCATGGCATTCAAAACAATGCGGACCAGTTTGATACTTATAAAATGATCTAAGGGATATTTGTTAGTTTGACAAATGAAAAACTAATGCATTGTTAAAACATTTTAACATATGTATACACTACCGGTCTGTGACTTTTCCATTTCAAATAATTTCCCTTGTTTTTCTATGTTTAGTCTGGCTCTAGAATTTGTTGAATTTATGGATATTTCTGAGCTTTGTCTTTCTAACTTACGACGCCTAACAGTACTGGTACTCTCCAACGAACGCACAGATCTGAAATTTAGTAATGCAATTTATATTCATTTAATATTTATCCCGTAAAAATTTGATTTCACTTACACTGCGTCTGAGAGACTTTCTATTCTAGCTAAGCTGATTTGGTATAGATTTTAATATAAGGGTCAGAGGTGCAACAATTTTATTTTCCTATGCCTGAAATAATAATGAAAATCAAGCAATATTTTCCTAAACTTGATTATCTCACCACTGATTATCTTTACAGAATCTCTGACGTTTCCTTTTGGATGTTATATATATTATGGAGACAAACAAAATGAGAATATAACCGTTCTTCAGTAGTGGGTGTAAAAATAACACATAGCTTTCAGGATGTGCACATTGATTTCTAGGACCAGATTCTGATTCCTTCGCAAAATTTCTCAGAACCGTCCTCTTCTTTCTTTCTACTTAAAGACATCGAAATTCGCCTTAAAAAAAAGATTTCACTTTGTTATGTTGTTGGAACATGAAATTACCCTCGAAAGAACTTATGACAACAAACAACAATTCATCGTAATTTACTTATGTTGTGACATGCAATTGAGCGAAAGACGATTAAGAACAGTAAGGCAGTCGTAATATATACTCAGTAAATAAAAAAAAAAAATTTTTTGTATGCAATTTCTATATTATTTTCAAACTTATTTGCATTAAAAAAATACAGCAAATAGACTAGCTGTGTCTAATTTGCTTATAACAAAATTATCATACAAGCACTAATAACATAATCTTAACATTAAAAAAATCTAAAAATTACCATAACCGCAAAGGTACTTTTTCAAAATAAAAGATTCTTATTTTATTCGCTTACATTCATGTTTTTCTACGTCGCTATGGTGCAAGAGAAAAGTCTATTATTATATTATAAATTTGATTTTAAAGCGGTAGTGGTAATAAGAATGGTAATAAGAAGGTTATTTAAAAGCATATAATCCCATGTCTCAACTTCTTTATGCAACTTGACTCACTAGGTATATTGTGACTAAGAAACATGCAACGTGAGAGATACGAAATTCATGCAAATTAGGAAAACACGTAATATGTAAGGAGCATCATTGCCAAAAGTTGTAAAACAAATGGTTATCACTCACAAGAAGTGTAACAACCACGTTTGAACTCACATACCTGCGGGGAGACAATTTGTGAAATTTTTATAGAAATTGCTTTATTATCAGTCACATTAAATCCTTTTATTAAAAATGTATGTATTTTATTCATTTTCAGAATAGTGTGGATTGATTACGGTCATTTTCACACACACACTGATTGATTTTGCTCATTTTGGGATACCTGTTTATTGATTTTTGGTAATTTTGAGATACCGTTGCAGTGCTTTGTGGTAATATTCAAAGCTCCATTTTTTGCTCACTTTATTAACATCCCAATATTAATATCAAAAACAACTCTGCGGTGAACATATGGTGGCGGGAAAAATGAGATAATTTAAATTCATTAAAAACAAAAATAATTATAAAAAAATTTGTGATGAGAATGAGAGTGGTTTACCGTTTTAAGGACGTCAATGATCCCAACGGTTGTAAACTTTTACTATTTAAAAACAACAAAAAAAAATCATATTTATCAATTTACTTAAGATAAAAATACCACTTGTAGCTTGTGCACGATGCTTCACTGTAAGATGGAGCGAAGTTTCTTCCATTCCATGTTGGTTTACATATGTATACGTATGTATATATATATATTCCTTTCATAGAACTTCTTCGAGCTTTCTTTCATTTTCATAGAACTTGCAGCAGATTTTTCTCATTTTGATATAACTTACAGCAGCTTTTTTTAAATACGCTTCGTTTCTTGCATATGTAAATGGATGAAAATAAGTTAAATGATTGTATTGAAGCTTTTTTTTAAAGAAATAACTTTCTGTTTAAAAAGTTGAGAAGCTGTAACGGATAGCTTACAATAATGAGTGTTTTTTAACAAAAAATTAACTTTATTCTAACGTAATTAATGTGCAGCATTATATGTAAAGGATATAATAGACTACATTTATCTAATACTAAATGCTGAAACTTGGCTAAACGCTGTAACCAGTTTGCATATTTTTATTCATAAATAAATAACTTAAAACCGTTTTCTATATCACTATTATGGGTTATACATTTTAATGGAAAGATATGTAGTGTTTGCTTATTTTCCTAGAAAGCTGTGCATTTATTGTTTGCTTTCATATAAAGATGTGTTTTATTTTCATTCATTTCACATTAACATCATAAAATAATTATTGAAAAGAACGCTGTGCTTTCTCTATTCAGAACATATGGTACTTTTTATAAGCAATGTGAAGGGGAAATTAGGTAAACGGCTCCCAGCGAAGAATTTGCCAAATCGAAGTTTACAAAAATTGAAATTCATTTAGAAGTGGACATAGATGCTGCAGGCAGTAAAACTAAAAACTCCAAAAGAAATTGTTTGTTCGTTGTTTTACTTTGTTTCATCAGTTTATTGGCGGTAGGAACGTTTATTTTCATCTATTTTTTCAAAATAAGTTTTTTAGAATTCGCGATAATACTTTTCGAAAAATCAAAATAAAAGTGCATTAATATTTTATTATTTTTATATTAATTCAACAAAAGGTTGAGAAAAATTAAAAAAATTAGTGTTCGCACGTCATATGATCAGGCCTTTCCTATATATTTATCCACATATACATAATATAATGTTCTTTTTTTTTGGTATGTTGAAAGGAGATGGACTAACATAATGTTTAACAAATGAAAAACAAAGACGCGTTATCATTTAATTAAACATTTTGACTTATTATTATGACATTAACAGATTTTAAATACTATTTTGAGCATATATACAGGCATGTTTATGGATGGATGTAAACGATCCGTAATTTCGTTTATCATCCAATTTCTTTCTGTTTAAGTTAAAAACATAATCTGCGCATAGAAAATGGATCCACAACAAATAGTGGAATTAGGCAAACTGTTAAAAAATAACGGAGATAAAATCTTGAATTCCGAATTTGCTTTAATTCTATCAGGTAAAAAAATTCTTTAAACTAATAATAACAGATCAAAAAAAAATTTTTCTTACTTCGTCTAGGTTCCATATTACGTGCTCTGAATGATTCTTTCACTTTGATAGTCGACTCTTTGGAATGTGGAGATGCTAAGAATTTTCAAGTACTTAAGACTATCAATTCAAAGTCATCCGCTTTTCGTGATCTTCAATTGATTTCCGATTCCGTGCAGAAAACTCCACAACTATGCATGGTACATTGTCCACATGAAGAATATTTTCAAGGGAATATTGGTATTAAAAAATTTCGGGCTGGTTTGACCACCGTCCTGGTTTGACTACCGTTTGAGGTGCTTCACCGCTCTTTGACCACGATCGTTTTCGCACAGGGTTATCGTATGTGATCCATTTCTCATCTCCAGTCACCATTCGTTTAAGAAATAGGTCTATCTCATTCCGTTTGGCCAAGGCTTCGCAGATGGAAATTCGATCCGTTATGTTTTTTTCTGTTAATTGGTGTGGCACCCAAACATCGAGCTTCTTTTGAATCCAGCTTTGTGTAAATGATTTAAAACAGTTTTATGGTCGATTTTTAGCTCCTGGGCGATGTTACGACTGCTAACATGCCGGTCAACTTCGATCATTTCTCCGATTTTATCGACATTTTCGACGACCGGCCTACCTGTGCGAGGTGCATCTTTAACATCAAAAATTCCTGAACGGAATCTACGAAACCAAAATTGCACATAATTGGCTGTTACAGTATCGGAACTATAAACACCATTCACAATTTTAGCCGCCTGGCTTGCATTTTCACCTTTGTCAAAGAAAAACTGTAAAATGTACCGAATTTTCTCTTTGTTCACTTCCATTTTTAACACGCTGTAACTCACAACTGAATGCACCAAACAAAAAACAGCAAAAGAATTTTTTTTACTGCGAAATGTCACCTTTCCAACGAGCATAAATATGAAATTGTTTGATCGATACTTTACGAGAAATCTATCAGTGCAGCCATCTACCGAAAAAATAATGAATTTCTTTTTCCCCAAACTAATATATAAAATATTACAAACTCCCTTAGAGCAATACTTTCATTTACTTATTACTACGCATTTTTTTATACCCTACACCGCTTGCGGTACTTGGATGTGGAGTGTGTAACACGCAGAAGCACTTAAGATAGAGTCACCTTTCATTATGCCGATGGATTCAGCATGATTTTCTATATCAATCTGTCCGTTTGATATCTGTCCATAGATTTTGTGTTTAACCTACAGGTCGCATTTTTGAAAATATTTTGATGGAATTTTGTACACTGACGTGCTGTGCGCTATTAAAAATCGTTCGAATCGCATCACCTTTTCGATCCCTCATCATATAATACCTTATCTTAATAAATCGTTATATAAAAAAAAAGTGTAAACTTCAGAATTTCGCGACCAATATCGCTTAGAAATAGTAATTCGTCATTCTAAACTGGTGAGAAAACCTCGGATAGTATGAGACAACTGTTTGATGCTCTTCCTATATAAACGAAGCTTCATATGGTAGAAACTCCTAATTTTTAATACTTCTTGATGAAAATTCGTTATGCCCGTTGATTCGTTAGTTACTGGCTCGACAGTCCGTTTGAGAGATCTTAATGGAGATTTAATGAAATTAAACATCTATGACTCTTATAGAAGAACAAAATATTATTTACAATACTTCACCTCTAGTTAGGACATAAAAATATCAACAACTTCTTACTGCACCTTAACGATAGATTGCTTGCGAAATGAATGTAATAAAAGCAGCAAACATCGTGAATTACTTAAAAAAACAAACGGAACGATAAACGGATGTGGATGTCACAATGTAAAATGTTACACGTCTTGTATAGACAAAATAAAATGTATATGGTATAAATGGACATTAGTAAGTACAGAAATTCCAGTATCTGCATATGTCAAATATTCTGAAATGTGGGATATAGCAATTAAAGTTGATTTTCAGAATATGATAAGCCTTCACACTTTGAATGCATCTAACCCGAAAATAGTTGTAAATGGAAGATTTTCAAAAATACCAATTTATGTAACTAGTTTTACCTCAGATAATTACTACAGTCAAAATGGACCTGTGATTATCAATAACACATCACATTTAATTACAGTTTCACATTTCCAAACGCCAGAACCTGGCATAATAGGTGATTATCAAAACAAATTAGTGGAGATAAAGATATTCATATAATCATGATCTAATGCGATGTGAACCCTATCAATGTGATGTGAATTGTGTTGTACCAGAACCTGCATTTGACAAATTTACGAAAAATATGAAGAGCTTCCGAACTAGAGAATACATCAAAACGGATGACGATCTAATTGTTGAGACTAAATTTAGTCGCTTAAAGTGTTTATTTGAATTAGTTGTAGGAAATGTTCCCCTAAGCAACTTGCAAAGAGAACTAGCGCATTGTGAAATTGAGATATTGATAACATTTGCACTTCAGACAATGTAAACCCATATATTGTAATGAAATCTCTTCATAGTAAGTCAGGAGGCATGTTACGCTTTACATCAAATTGTTCATTTGCAACAGACTTTATTAAATGCGCATCAGAGCCATATAGTTTGGACTGGAAAAGCTTTAATAAAACTTGCTTTATCCATGTGGGATCATTAAATAAAACCTTAATAGGTACCTTTGTTTTTATTTTGAAAGGAAGTCTTATGCAAAAATGTGTTGAAAAGAATGCTACTACACATCTTATTAACTTGATCATCTCTAAAGCGTTCTCAGAAGGTGTCCTAACTTCAGCTGTTACTGTTCTCACATTCGCGTTCATATTTCAATCAGATTATTTAGAGTATGAGAATGTAATAGAACTGCACGAAGAGAATTTAATGAAAAATTATGGATTTTCTCCTTTATGTAGTTTTTTAATATTAATGTTGTAAAAAATTAGAAAGATAATGACTTAAGATTCCACGATTTAAAGTGAGAAGGTTTGTCGGATGCCTCTCTTTTTTAGAGTTTAGTACGTTATTACTACATTGCTGTGCCATAGGGGGAAAACTTTTCATAGCTTTTGCCTAAATTTATCAATAATTAATTTGAACTTGCATGAGTTAGGCATAAATCATTAATTTTACTCTACTCTACTCTAAGAACACTTAAAACTTTTGAACTTTATCTTTCGAAATCTACTTTTATAATATAATTCAGTTTTCCTTTCGGCAAAGCGCAGAGGACTAACTTTATAGGCTTATTATACCTGTAAATGTAAAGATTATCTACTTTCCGAAAGAAACAACTCGAGGTTTATATTTATATTCCGTACTATTATTAATATCTCAACAGTTTTTCTCTTTACGATTTATTCGTTAGAGGTTTATCTTTCGCACTACCAGCATCATCTAACAGGGATTGCGCTAATGTGCTGCCAAGAATAAAAACACAGTATTCCATTAATATTTTCTAACGGAAAACTAACTGAAGACTAATGCTTACACACAGTGACGCTAAATCCTTTTTTCAAGCCTGAGGATAAAAAGTGAATGGACTGTTTTAATGGGTGCGGCTATAATGCTTTCCATCAATTTCTATTCCCAAGTTTGAAGAAAAGTGTGGCCTCATTATATTTATAGTCGAAGAAAGATTAAAAAAATATGTGTAGCCTACAGAAATATATAGGTTTTACATTGCAATTTTGGTAAAGGTCTGATTTTTAATCGAATTTTGATAAGAAAACATATTTTCTAATAACATAGGAAAATATTTATTACACCTATGACGATACTGAACGTTTGGGGGAATTTCGTAGCAACTTGGAAGTCGAGCGTTGCGAGATTACCATCAGAAATGTCATTGAAAATGCTTTAGATACGGAAAGAAATCAGATACTGGAGTTGTTGGAGATTGTGGCCACGAAATTGGCCGCACCCATCAGACGATTTTTGGCTGAAGGCGCTGAGGTACTACATGAAGAGTCCAATTCCATGGAAAGGCTCATGATGTATTTGGAAAATTCGTTAAGAACGTTGTACAATACTTTGAACGAAGTCAATTTTGCTCGCATTTTGGATACGATATGGGCGGAGCTCTCAGTCATTATGTATGATTTAATACAATCCAATTTGGATGTACGCACAAAATTTATATATAAAAAGTCTACTTTATACTATATATATATAAGATGCTATACTATTTTTACTATAGAAGGGTCGACCTCCCGCATTTTTCCAAAATTTACGTCAAACACTTTATGTGATGAATTCGTGCTTCAAAACTGGTAATATGGTTACGTCCGATATAGAAGTATTAACCGAGATTGAACGCATTTTGGATTTACACGCTTTTGAAACGGTCGATTTAATTCATCAATATTACTTAGAAAGACTTGACCATCAAAAAGAGATTAACAAATCAGAATATGGGCAACTGACAAGACGAACCAACTTTATTGAGACTGATTTAAAGGTAAGAATGTATTTTCACAAAAACCAATGTTTTAAAGCTTTTCCCTTTTCTCTGTAGCTGGACATATGAATGCGCGCAATTTGATACCCATGGACACAAATGGATCTTGCGATTCGTTTGTTAAGGCACACTTTCTGTCAAGTAACTCTTTCCAAGGGTGTCTGCTGTAAAGACTGCCGTTCAAAGTAAAACACCTTTTCCCTTTTGCGATGAACAATTCACAATGTATGCTTAATCAACTGGTTTATAAAGTTCGTTAACATTCCCACCTTTGATACCTTGATTTTTAGAAAATTAAGTCAGGATCAACAAGAGAAATAATCTGATATTGTTTAGTATAAAAGATAAAGACTACTTTGGAATGACGAATCAATATATTGCCGAGTGCTATACAACATTTGCTGATCATTTACCGAATGAAAATGACCAAATTCGTATGGAATTATCTCGGCCGGAGTACACAGGTATTTAAGATAATGCTCGGGGACTAATTTCAAACTTTTCATAATATTTCAATCATCACAGCCTCAGAAACCATTTGCTCCTTAGAATATCGCCAGGAAGATAAACAAGCCAAGGACTTTTTGAAAAAACTAAAAAATAAATCCTATTCATGAGAATTAATTAGGAATATCAAAAAGGTTGCATTTGCTTAGAACAATGATATGCTGTTTCTTGTGTTTCTTTTCCTGAGAGTATTTGAAAATAATCTAACATACATATGTAAATAAGTGCACATAAATTACGGTAATTTAATATCACGAAAAGTTAATAAAAGCATATAAGAAAATTATTATTATTATTATTATTAACCGCTTAAAAGGCACCTTAAACAATAAATGAAAACTTCACACGAATATATTTTTAAATGAAAAATTTGTTTTT